CTGTTGGGAGTTTAGCAGGAATACCTGCAGTGGTGGTTTGGTGTCGACCTCTGCAGGATTGGGATCTACTACCAAGAGGGGAATTGTGGCACTGCCTGATTTATTCTTATGCTTTGTTTCTAAAATCAAAGCTCTTGGACTGAGGAGCACTCAAGAGCATTAGTGTGGTATTTTACAAGTATCAATTAAATTGAGCACATCATCAGGAGTTTTGGAGACACTGGAACCAGATGTTCCTTATTCTTCCATTTTTTCATTAAATATTGTGCCAAGGGCCTCTAAGGATATGAACTCTTATAACCCACAGAGTCCAGGGATGAAGCGCAATACAGCAGCAAGGCAGACAACAGTAGAGGAGTTTGTGACCAACACAACAATGTTTGCAGGGAGCCATGGTCTCCATGGAAAGAGCGGACCACATCACTGGTCAAAAGGTCCTTTCAGTGTAAGGATATCTGGGTGGGCAGTTTACCGCTACCCAAAGACACAGGCCAATGTACCTAGCACATATGAGGAAGGGAGCTGCTTTTAGTTGAGTAGCCCCTACAGACTGCAGCCCTAGTAGAGGTTCAGTGGATCAGACGCACCTGTATGAAGATAGAGGGAACCACTTCCTGTTTCTTTGGGAGGACCTTCACACAGTATAATAGCCAACTATCCGAGGCTCTCCTGGGGACCTCACCCAAATTAGGTGCATTGTAAACATTTAAGGAGCCAATGGGGGACCACTTTGCCCAGACTACAGCACCCTAAGGTAGACAGCCACTTGGGGAGGACTCAGCTTTTTGAGCTCTGCTACAATTTAGATTGGAGAACCAGGGCAATAGGAGACAGACACAACACAATTCAATGACCACTAAAGCACAAGCCAGCCAACAGCCAGCAGTGCCTTCCCATACAGTATTTGCTATCTGTTGGATTCAGTTAGTAAACCAAGAAGCATGTCATCCCTGACTGTCACCAAAGTACTATACCCTGCTCACTGCGACTGTTTTAAAATGTACCTAAGATTTGTTTTAATCACATATGGTAAGATAACAGACATGGAGACAAATGCCTTTCAAAGAAGAGTTTATTACTCACAGTTCCCCAAAGGACAGGAGGCATGGCATGCCACACAGGGTCACTTGCAGGGAGAAGAGGAACCAGGTCCTTTATTACTATAGCAGTGAGTAGTAGCTAGATGAGGACATTCCCTATAGAGCAGGAAGCAAAACATGTTGAAGCTTGTGGTTGGAGGGTTTGTAATAAGATTTCTTCATGCTCAAGAAAACACTGGGATGATGGAGAAGTAAACAACCTTGGGATTTTAGCATGAACTAACAACTCAAAGATGCCAAATCATCAATTACGGAATATTAAAAATAGTTATTGCTATTACAGCCTACTATTCACGAACCTCCTGCAGGGTACTCCCCTAGGCTGAATGTTCACCAGCCACACACTTCTAATCAGATCCTCCACTAGCCTGTCTGTACCCTCAGCCTTTGTACCTCTTGCTGAATCCTCTCCCAGGTTGTCTGAATCCTCTACTTATGTAAGTCTTACAAGATCTTCCCCTAGAATGGCTCTTTATTTCACCCAGGCACCTCCTGACCAGTTCTCCCATAGACTAGATGCTACCTCTTTCCATGCACCTCCTCCTGTGTCTTCCCCTAGGGTGGGTGTTCCATCCATCATTTAGGTCCTACCGAGTCCTCCCCCAGTCTGAATATTCCTTCCTCCCTTGCATCCTTCCTTTATGCTTTAGGAAATGATGTACTGATACTCATGGAAGGACCTCTCTTTCTTGAATTCTATTTTGAGGGTCTAAAGACTCTTTCTAAAGAGTCAGGTGGTCTCCCTCTGGCCACATCCTGCAGGATTTGTCAGATAGAGGAGCCAAGGGAGGCTGAGCCTTCAAAACACCTGTTTCCAGAGGGTGCTTTCAGTGGCAGGCCAGCCTAGTTCCAAGGCGTGGGTTCACAGCAACATCAAACCAACCTTACCCTCCAAGTTTCCCTCAGGCTCGACTCTTAGGTTCATCTCTTCTCATACGTGATGTTTCCTCCTGTGTTGACCTGTGTCTTGTGGTCATGTGCCTGCCCCTGACACTGCTTTTGATCACAGGCCTGGTTTGGAACCCACACCCTCCCCAGCCCCTGGTCCCTACTCACTCCAGTTTTAGTTTTCGCATGGTGTCTTCTCTGCAGGGCCCAAGCTAGAGCAAATCCTTCCTCACCATCCCCCTATGTGTCTTTTCGAAACGCACAAAAAGTCTAAACTTGGGCAGCTCATCCTTTCCCAAGGGCAGTGATTCTCACTCTCCGCCTACCTTCCTCCCCTGAGTGTGGGACCCCTGTGCACGTGTAGGAGGGGGATTTGGCAAGGTGCCGCATTTAGACCGATGCTATCCTCACTGTGGCCCCCTGCTTCCTGTGAAATCCACAAGCACAGCTGGAGCACAATTCCTAAAGGGATGGCAGTATTGCTCTACCTCCTTCTCCCATGTCCTTGTGACTCTGCCGAGGACTTGCCAACACGAGGTCATTAAAGCTCAACCTCCAAACTCCACCTGGGACATCAGAGTCTGAAGGAGCCCAGGAAGCCTGGCTCCCTACAGATGTCACAGTGACCATTAGTGTCAACTACTGCATGGACTGTAAGATGACACCTGACCACAAAGACCTGCTAACTTGACATGGTGTATCCACCTCCTATGGCTTCTCCGGCCTTTAATTCCTCAGGTGTGCCTTCCAGAGAAGTATCCAGGAGATCACGTTTAGTTCTAGAACGAACCATAGCCATAAGCCAAAATCAATAGCTGTTTTGTTGTTTTTTTTTTTTAATGTGGGACAGCTATTTAATCAACCAACATATCAAGATCTTAGTATAATGATTGATTCCCTGGCTCTGCCCACCCTGGAGGCACTCCCTGTTTGCTGAAGGACACTGGAATATGAGAAACCACACCCTAGACACAAAGATGCCCCACTTCAGGGATGGGGTGGCAAAGCTGGTGCTTTCATGTGATCAGCTGAAGGTGACTCTCCACCTGCAGTTGCTGGGGAGAGGCCTGCTCCCGACTCACGTGCACAGAAGATCTTGAACAGCTGAACTTGGCTAAGGCTGGGAGGGCTTCATGGCTCTCTAGAACAAAGCACAAATCTGTGGGGTGGACATTTGACAACCAGGCTTCCGTAAATATCTGGTGGGATGGCATTATGCGGCAAAAGTTTCTTGTATTTATACAGGCACATATTCCAACAAACTCTAAGCATAACCCAACACTACTATTCTCAGGACCCTCCAGTGAAGTAGGCAAAGGCGGAGCCAGCTCCAGGCTTTAATAAATGGTGGAAGGAGGCAGAGAGACGGTGAGTCACCAGGCAGAGGGGAGCAGAGAGGAAACCAGGGTGAGGACTGTCTGCTTCCTGGATGCACCTCTGCCTTCTTCCTCTGATGGCACTCTTCTGTCTCTCCACAAAGTTCAGCAGGCTGTGGTTTCAACAGCCAGTGGCCTAAACATCCAGTAATCACGTGAGAACCAGGCCCAGTGGGACATGGGGAAGCACAGCTAAACATCTGGTCCATAGGGAGGGAGATACATGCAGCTATTTACTAAGGGCGCACTGTCTGCCATGCAGCAGTTTACTGACATGTGTTGACTTAATCTTTGGGAAAACTCGAAGATGGAGGAACTCTTATTATCCCCATTTGACACACGAGGAAACTGCTGCTCAGAGGGAACAGATGAATGTCCAAAATCACGTGGCCAGAAAGTGGTGAACTGGGATGGCCAACCCAGGTCCTCTCAGCCCATTGTTGAAGCCAGCTGGGCAGCCTGTGACCAGCCCTCTATGACAGGCCAGGAGGCTGCACAGGGTGGCCCTGGAGGATCCTATGAGTAGGTGACATTCTCAAATGTTGACACTCACAGGGGAATGATTAGACTGCTGTAACACTTGATATGACACTTTTTTAAACTTAACACCGGGCATGAAAATGTCTACAAGAATTGTATATGCTTTTGAGTCCATCACTTGGGACAGAATTTACACAGGTTATGCTTATACCTCTCAAAGCACGTATTCAGCCACTGATAATTCTTTGTTATTCTATCAAATATGTGATCATTAAAATGATCAGATGTTTCATCAGAGAATGAGATTGATAATTATGTTTGAAATAAAATACATTTATAAGTAAGCCCATTCATTAATTAATAACCATGAAGAACCTCTTGAATTGCCTGTTTTAGACCAGAGAGTAGCTTTTATATAATATTACTATTTAATTCACCAGTGTTCACAGGGGGACGGAAGGACATACCCCACGGGGCATCACAGCACTAGCTAATAATTCCTGTCTCAATTCCTCTCTTGGAATGAGGCAGGGTATATAGATAGATGAAATCAACCTGACGATAATTCCTTTTATGAATAGTTCTTTATGGTTTCCCCATCACTCCTCAATCTTCATGTAAAGCCCCTGTCCCCTGAAGTTCATGTCAACTGCTATGCCGCCCTCTCCACCCCCCCCCGCCGCCATCACCTCCTGACTTTTCAACGTTCCCTGTCGTGAATAAAGCCTTTGGCACTCAGTCATGGTCTTCAGTCCCTCCCCAGTTACCGCCGTCATTCTGGGAATCCAACGTGCCTGGAGCGCCATCCCAAACCCCCCCCACCCCCCAACACACACCCCCCCACCCCCCACCCCCCAACCACACCCCCCACCCACCCTCCCCGTCACCCTCCTGGCCTCACAGGCCTTGACTTGCTCAGAGCCAGTGAGGAAGTCTTCTCCCCGGCAACCTCAACCAGCTACTCCCACGAGGGCCACTCCCCACACTGTCACCATTAGAAACTACTCCCTGAAATCACCGATTCCAGCATCCCACACTGCCCAGCATCCACACTGCCCACCCCTTCTACCCCTCCCACCCTCCACGGGATATCTCATCGTGGATGCCTCCCAAATACCTCCAATTAAAAATGACAGACACTGAGAGGAGACAGAAGCACAGCAATAAATGCTTTAATTGTATGCACTGACAGCAGAAGACCAAGCCTTCCCATCTATGGGTCACTGGGGGACCAGATGAGGCTGTTGATGAGGTCTCGCCAGGCTGTGGGACTCCGGCATCACTTCTTACTGGGTTGCGGCATCTGATCACTCTGACGGTAGGTCTCATTCTCAAAGAGGTGGCTGAGGTGCTGGTTGTTCTCCACTGCCCTCTGCACGTGTTCTGGGGTGATGCGTATCTTGCGGCTGCTGTGGGCCTCCTTGCTTGCCAGCTCCAGGATGTTGGCTGTCAGGTATTCAAGAATACCAGCGAGGAAAACAGGTGTCGACGAGCTCAGGCGCTGGCCATACGCACCCTGTCGCAGGAGGCGGTCCACACGGCTAACAGGAAACTGCAGCTCGGCTCTTGTAGAGCGGGACTGGGTGTGCTTCCTACGCCTAAAAGACAGCTGGCGATTTCTCCTCCCAGACATGGTGTTTGCTGGGTTTTGCCCTGATCGGCCTGGCTGGATCGTCTGCTGGTCTGGGCCTCTCTAGATACCAGTGCTCATTCCTGCCCACTATATCCCTGGGCTCCAGCCCCTCATTGGTCAGAGAGCTGCCTTTGTGACAATTCAGACTTTGTGATGTCATTGGTGTCCACTGGGCCCTGATCAGGACTGGCCTAGAAATCTCTGCGATAGAAACCTTGTCTCCCTCTTGACTGGACCCTCTTTTTCAGGGAACTCTAACTTTCCACTCCGACTTTAACAGACTAGTAAACAACACAACAAAAAAACACTGTTTCAATGGAAACATTGCCCTGTCTATAGGACACCACTCCAGGTTATCTGATTCTAGCCTTCCATCATCTTTGAGCTCTTTCACATCCCTTTCTAAGCTCTACGTCACCGACAGGCATGCACAACCTCCAGTAGAGGCTTAATTGTCTCCCTCTCACACAGTAATCAAACAAATTTTGCCTCTATTTACATATTTATCTTACTAATCCTGATCAATATGCCTGTTCTGTCTTTGGATTTTCTTGTAAAATACTTATACTACCTGCCAATTTCATTATGTGATAAATACAGTGTTTTAACACGTGTTTATATCTGTATGAGTGTCGTGATATTACACTTTTTTGATAATTATCTTTATCTGTTTTGGAAGACACACCCATATGTCCAGTTGATTCTCTTAGCAGAGCCAGGTAAACTTCAATGACAGAATAGTGCACCACATGTACATTTAAAGCCCAAGTCTGTCTTTTCTTGGCTCTCTAATGTGAATCCAATGTACCAATAGCACATTGTCGACTCCTTTTATAATTTTTGTTTCCCTTTCTACTAGTTTAGTGTTTCTGTTTTATTTTTGGTTCATTTACAGTCAATAAGTTATTCCCCACTATTGATAGCCATGGTTGGGAATTTGGTATTTGGTTTTGTTTTCATTTTATTATTTTATTAAAGGTAAAGCCCACATAACATAAAATTCACCATTTTAGCCATTTTTAAGTGTACAATTCAGTGTTTTTTAATATATTCACAATGTTGTGAAACTATGACTTCAAATTCCAGAATAGTTTCATCACCCATCATGGAAACTCCATATCCATTAAGCAGTCACTTCTTATTCCTCCCTCCCCACCAGCTGCTGACAAACAATCTACTTTCTGTCTCTACGGGTGTGCCTATTCTAGATATTTTATATAAACAGACTCATACAATATAAGGCATTTTGTATCTGGCTTCTTTCACTTAGCATGTTTTCAAGGTTCACCCACATTATAGCAAGTATCAGTACTTCACTTCTTTTTATGGCTGAAAATTAGTCCACTGTATGCACATATCATATTTTGTTTATCCATTCATCAGTTGATAGACATTTAGGTTGTTTCCACTTTTTGCCTATTACAAATAATGCTGCTGTGAATATTTGTGTATGTGGAGACCTGGAATTGGCCACCCCAAGATATGTATCTGGCATCAGGATTATTTGAGGCTGATTGCTTTTGATAAACTGGGACAGGGAAGGAGGAATGGAACTTGCCCTTTGTTAGGACACCTTTACATTTGTAAGGTAAATCTCTATCTGTAAAAGGTGCCTCCCTCTCTGTACCAGGAAGAAGAAAAGAGATGACCTTCTCTCTAGAAACTCTTAATCAATACCAAAGGCAAGGACTTAAAATCTGCATTTTATTGTGCCTGTTTCTGGTAACCTCCTGTAGCTGACTTCCCTCCCCCTCCCAACTTTGGCATTTCTTTAAGGATTAAGCATCTTTCCTTAGGCTAGGAACTGATTGCTGCTGTGCTCACCTGTGACCGCCCAGCTCCAGACAATCGACTTGCCTCCTGCTACGCCCATCCAGATAGCAGACCATTACCTGCTGTGTCCATAAAGCACTGTGCCAACAGGGCAATCTTGTGACTATTGTGGGAGGGACATTTCAATCACATGTGAAACACCCTGTTTGGGGGTATATAACCACTATGTGCACCCCACTTCTTCGGTGCCCTTTCTTCCTTCGGGAAGAAAGGCCCCGGGCCATGGCTCCTCATAAAGCTTTGTTTAATTTTCTCTTGCTATTCTGTCTCATGTGAATTTAATTTGTTCTCCGGCCAGACGAACCCACATTTGGGAAGAGGAAATGTCTTCCTCCCCTACATGTACAAGATTTTGTGTTAACATATGGCTCCAATTCTCTTGTGTACATACTTAAAAGTGCAATTGCTTGGTCATATCATAAGAATTTGTATTTATGATGTGACTATTTCGAGATCTCTCTAAATAGACTGATATTTTGTAGATATCTAGTCCCCTTTGAGTAAGAGACAACAAAGAGTCTGGTTTGTCAATCTTTTTGTCTATTTTTTAGCCCAAATCAATGAAGAATTTTATGCCCTCTGGGAGAAGAACAGCTATTTGATATCTATACCGGGGAGGTTTACTGTATCTGTGTTTATACTTGACCCATGGCTGCAATTGTAGAATTGATGCTATCAGCTCTCTTTCTCTGTGCCTGTATGTCTATGTCTGTAACTCAGAAACGCCTTCACCTCTGATTGTGTGAGTATGTAATATTTTCCTACCTCTGGATGATATTAATATATTAGATCATAAAATCTCTGAAATTAAAGGGGCTCTGTTCTGATTGGCATATCTAGATAAACAACTGCTAACACAAATTGAGTATTCTTAAAAGTCTCCTAACACAAATTGAGTATTCTTAAAAGTCTCCGAAAATAAGGAAACTGAATTTCTGACCCTTTAAATATACTCAATTTTAAATATTTGGTGAAAAAAGATTAATCTTTGGTGTTGAATAAAAACAAGTATATCTTTTCTGATTTATCAGTGTCAAGTATAAGACAAACATACTTTTTTCTACTTGGGTATATTTTTCCTCAACTTACACAGGTTTACTGATCAAATAAAATGTCATTACTTCTAGTTAGATAATAACAGTATGAAAATATAAACTTATTCTTAACCAAATTGAACCATTATTCTGACCACCTTTTCTACAGTAATAAGGTTTTTCAGCTTGCAGAAGGATTAAGACAAGGTAACCTGAAAATGAACACAAATCTGTATTAAAATTTTGCCATATCTGGCTCAGTTTTGATGGATTTATTCATAAACTTATAACAAAGTGCTTGTGGTTCCTTTAGAATCAAATATTATAGTGATGTGAACCTAGAATTTGGTATTCTCTTGTGGAATGAAAAAGTTTCCTTGGAGTATTGCTCTGCTCTTAATAAGAACTGCAAAAGTTTGCTTTTCACCTTCCTTATGGGGTAATTTGTTCAAATAGCAGAGATTCCATATCTCGCCAAATGACATTGTACATTTTGTTTCTCAAATTTACATGCCCTCGATTATTCTCCTTAAAATTACCAATAAACACCCTGTGTTTCTGTAAGTGTTAAGGATTTGTGTTTATTTAAATATTATGTTTACTAAATGCTGTATTGTCAATTTTATTAATAGGTAGCCTTGCTACAACCATTAGTGTTCACCCATGTGCCCACTGGTGACTCCTCAAGGCTAGCTTCCCTCTCCATCCATGCACTTCCTGCTGAATTCTGCCTCAGGTGGGATACTACCTCCACTCTTGACCTTCCTGGTAGATTCTTCCCCGGGGTTACTGACCCTACACTCATGAAGCCCCTTCCACGCCCTCTCTTAGGCTGGCCCTACCTTCCACACTTGCACTTCTTGCCATGTTCTCCTCTAAGATAGAGGCAGACTCCACCTTACACTTCATTCAATGTCCTGCTCTTGGCTAGAAGCACCCCCATCTTCTGTACTTACCCTCTTCACGCCTTGCTGCTCTCTTAACTCATGGAGTACCTGTGCCATTCTCCTTAGTCTGGCTGTCCCACCATGATCAACTTATGACTGGGTCCTCCCCTATGCTGGCTGTACCTTGCCACGCACTTCCAGGCGAGTTGTCCCCTAAGTGGATGTTCAGTCTCCCAGGCTTCTCCTGCTGAGTACTACTCTGGGTTGGCTGCAACCTCCACCCATGCATCACCTAACAAGTATGGCCCTAGGATGACTGCACCCTCCATCCACACACCTTCTGCTCAGTCTTTCCCTAGGCAGAATGCTGCCTCCATCCATGCCCTTCCAGCCCATTCCTCTGCTAGAGTGGCTGAAACTTCCACCTTTGCATCTCTTTCACAATCTTCCTCTAGGTTAGCTGCAACCAACACTCACGCACTTGCTGGTGTGTTCTCCCTTACAATGGCTGCTTTCTGCACTGATGTTCCTCTTTACTTCTCCCTCAGGCTGGATGAAAGTTCTTTGCCTGCACAACTTGTCAGTTTATCCTCTAGGAGGATACTCTAACCTTCATACACCTCCTGCCGAGTCCTCTTTGAATGGATGCTCCCTCTACCCATGCACCTCATGCTATTTCCAACCTTAGGCTGACAGCACTCTCCAACTATGAACCACCTGCCACGATCCCTCGTAGGCAAGCATAACCATCTGCTGATGCACTTTCTTTTTTTTTTTTTTTTGAGGAAGATTAGCCCTGAGCTAACTACTGCCAATCCTCCCTCTTTTTGCCGAGGAAGACTGGCCCTGACCTAACATCCATGCCCATCTTCCTCTACTTTATACGTGGGATGCCTGCCACAGCATGGCCTTTGCCAAGCAGTGCCATGTCCGCACCCGGGATCCGAACGGCGAACCCTAGGCCGCCAAGAAGCGGGACGTGCGAACTTAACCACTGCACCACCAGGCCGGCCCCTACTAATGCACTTTCTATCAAGTCTTCCCTTAACCTAAATGCTCCCTCTTTTTATGCACCTCCTACTAGGTCCTTGTCCAGGCTTGATTTTCCCTCCCACCACAGACTTCCTGATGGGCTGACACCTAAGTTGGCTCTACCCTGCACTACACAACACCTGCCATGCATCCTCAACCATACACATCCTGCCATATACTCTCAATTGGATGTTCCCTCCACCCGTATACCTCCTGTCAGATTCTATCTTACCATGTGTTTACCCTTGTCCATTCACGTATCTCTTCCTATTTGTCCTGTAGGTTAGAAAGTCGCTAAAACCTCACCCTTTCTGCTGTG